GTTTTGCATGCAAAATTCTCGGAACAGCGTCAAGGTGTACTGGGTTCCGTTGTTTGTAACCAGTATCTTCGGGGTGCCAAAATACTGGAACAGTTTGTTCAGCTCATCCATAGTGTGCTGGGTGGTGGGATTTTGCATCGGAACCACGTCGGGTCATTTTGTATAGGAATCAACAAAAATCAAATACGATTTACCGTTGATTGGCCCCGCATAATCCAACTGGATTCTCTGTCAGGGCTTCTTCGACTCGGGTCAAGGGTGCCACGAACATTTCGGAGGTGCCTTTGCCGCTTGTTGACAAGACTCACAACTTTGGCAGAACTGCTCGATTTCTGCATCCATTTGAGGCCAATACACAAAACTTCGCGCCAGTGCCTTCATTCGGCTGGTTTTCGGATGTCCTGAATGAAACTGCTGTAGTATTCGCTTCCGCAACTTCCTTGGTACCACGACTCGTTCTCCGAACATTAGACAATTGTCAACGACCGAAAGGGATCCGCGTCGATTAAAGAAAGGTCTTAACTCATTCGAAATTCTGACATTAGGCCAACTGGACTGCACAAACCCTATAACTTTCAGCAATATATCGTATTGAGCAGTGTCTGCACGAATCATGTCCGAGGTTACTGGCAACTCCCTTACACTGTCAACCAGGATGCGCTGAACTTCCGACTCGAATTTGACAGATGCAATCACGCAGTCATCGTTTTCCTTCGCGTGGGAACTGAGGAGGCGAAATAGAGCGTCAGCTTGGCCGAGTTGTTGTGTAGATCAGTGTGGGATACTGAAATCGTAAGCCAGCAGTACGGTTGCCCATCTCTGTAACCGACTTGCTTGAAGAAACCCTTCTTTGATCCAAATATCGAGAGTAGAGGCTTGTGATCCGTGATCAGTTTGAAATGTCTACCATATAGCATCTTGTGAAACCGTTTCACTGCGAAAACAATCGCCAGCGCTTCCTTCTCAATCTGGCTGTAATTTTTCTCCGCCACTGTCAGCGACCGTGCTGCGTGCGCAATGGCGTTCTCTTCTCCTGGGAACACATGAGAAATGACAGCACCTACCCCATAATTGGAGGCGTCCGAAGCAATAACAATCTCCAAGTTTGGGTTGAAGTGGGTCAAAAGTGAATCAAAACTGAACGCTGCTTTAACTATATCAAAGGATTGTTGGCACTCCATTGTCCATCGCCATTCTTTCCCTTTCATCAACAACTGGTTCAGAGGACCTCTAGTCTGATGTAGACTTGGCAGGAAGGCACTATAATGACTTATAAGACCGAAAAATGAACGAAGTTCGGCAACATCCCTTTGTGGTGGCATTTGCTTGACAGTTTCTATATTAACGGGATCCGGATGTCGGCGATGTTTGTCAATGATGAACCCGAGAAACTTGACACTTTCCATCAGGAAATTGCATTTTTCCACTCGTAACCGGAAGCCAGCTTCTTCTAGACACGTGAGCACTCTCTAACGTAGCCAGCAATGCTTGTGGGTCAGACCCCAAAATCAATGCGTCATCCAGGTATACTGCGATCCCAGGGATATCGTTCAGCAGCGTATCCATGATTTGTTGAAAAATGGCAGGAGCAGTTTTCACTCCGAATGGCAACCGATTGTACTGGAAAAGACCTAGATGCATGTTGACCGTCAGTAGTGTTTTGCAGTTCTCGGCTACTGCCACTTGCAAGTAAGCATCAGCTAGATCTAGTTTCACAAACCGTTAAGGTTGGTGAATAAATCTTCAGGTATAGGCAAAGGGTACTGGTGATTCTCCAACATGGAATTTAAGCCGGTTGCAAAGTCAGCACAAATACGTACCTTGCGGTTTCCTTTCTTTATCACAACGATGGGTGCTGCCCATTCTGAGTAATGTACGCGCTCGATTATGCCTTCCGACTGCAACCGATTTAACTCAGACTCCACTATTGGTTGTGTTGCCTACGACGCTGGACGTTTCGGTTTAAGCACTGGTCTGGCGTCTGGTTTGAGGTTCAGCTCAGCTCTGGCTATCCGGCAGCATCCAAGACCGGGTTGGAACAAACTTTCGTGGCGTCGCTCCAGTTCTACAATTTGACTGTAAAGTTCGGGGTTCATATTCTGCGTCTCTGCAGGTTTCTTGACTTGTAGTTTCTGGCATATACTGTTAAATGACTGGTCAAGTAATTTCAAGTCCTCCATCCAATCCAGACCCAGCAAATTCAATCCTGGTTGATCTGTCACAAAACAGGTTGTACGAATGTGCTGATCACGGAAACTGACCTGACAATGCAACTCTCCGAGAAGTTTCGAAATACCGCCGGATGCGTTTCGGGCTGTGTGGTCTGTGTGGACAAGCGGTAGTCGTCCCAGCATACACCATGTGTCTGGACAAATCAAAGTGATGTCTGACGCAGTATCCAACTGCAGCTAAACTTCCTTCTCGTTGATCTTCAACATTGTAAACTTACGCCTGCTGACACCGTCAACCTTGAAAGGCGCCGTCACAGTTTTAGCCTCGTTGTGACATCGGAAGCGCACTGGGATTCGACGCTGTATTCCGATCATTGTTGGTCGCTTCGCAAGACAACACGACTCTGTGTCCTCGCTTACCACAGCGATTGCAAATGTGATTTCGGAACGGGCAGTTTCGACCAAAGTGCCATTCCCTTCAAAACCAACAAGCAGAAAAGGGTTTAGAATGTGGTGAACTCACCTGAACCGATTCTTTCTAAGAACCTCTGCTGACCCTGCAAATGATGTCCTGACTACTCTGGATAGAGGACTGTTGGATCATTGCAGCATCATGCTTCAAGTTCATCAACCGTTGGCATTCGTTCGTCACTTCCTGCAGTGTGATCTCGGGAGTTTTCTCAATTCTGCTCAGTACTCTTGTTCGGGCATCCGCATCTTTGGTTGCTTGAAGACCACACACATAAATAAGGCACTTGTACTGATGAGCTGTCATCTTGTGAGACAGCGACCGTTCACACTCACGATTTACGCGACTCGAGTAAGTAACCCAGTCTTCGTCGTCTCGCTTGGTCATTGTCAGGCACTTGTATCGGATATTGAATAATGACGACTGATCTCCAAATATCTGGAACAAAGTAGCAACCGCTTCATCCCACCTCGATCGCCACGGTTATAAACCTGCCTTCCTACTGCTGCTATTCTGCGCCTGCGAGACTACGACCGCCGGATTGCTCAGTCACGCACCCAACCAACCGACGGGATACAGAAGGCCAAGGCTCGGTAAACAGGGAGTCTATTGTACACGATAGGCCAGTACTATTTATTGGTGAACGAAACACTCAGATGGAGTGGTTAGAAGACAGCTATTATTATTATTAATGCTATTATTATTATTCACGCCAGCTGCAGGTGGAGAATACCTCAGCCACTCTACAGCAATACAATACCGGTTGAGTAACCGGTAACAGATGGACATCGCTATTGCACTGCAAAATATGTTATATTATACCTAATAAACGACATCGTGGTTGGAGAGGAGGCTAAGCGGGAGGGGGGGGGGACGAAGCAATTCACAACACAAACGCCATTGAGATCGGCTCCTAGCCATGTTAACAAGTGTATCCAGCCAACCGTGTTCATCGTCTTTCAGTCCTCAACCAGGGAGCCGAGAGGCTCTAACCAAGGCCAACTTTGAAGTAAGGGCCTTCATTCCTCTTGATCAAGTCGTCGCTCGGCGACTCCTCTTCCTTTTCCATTCACACCCCGGGTGCGCAAACAACGCACGTTGCGGGAGTCGCTGGGCTGGCGTGCGCAACACTGGCTCAGCCATCGGAGCCTGGTGCATGAAATAACGGTGCTGAGCAGTTCGCTTCTTCTTCCTGCTTGACAAACAGCGCGTCGAACACGCTCATTCCTAACACGGTGTTCCCACGAGATATGAGTCAAACTGCGAAGGCACCGGTGGTCGATAGAAGGCACCAGTAACGAGGGCGAATGCATACGCGTGGCTGATTTCACGACCTTGTCATGTCGATAGACCTACGCCGGTTGGACAAATCGATCGTTGACTTACTTCATTGCATCCGCACCAGTTGGCCCCCGATATTTCACCTAGTCAGGTGAAATGTCCAAACTGTATAGCCGGCAGCAACCTAATGTGGCTCTCTCAAGTAAATGCTGTCGCTTTCTACCGCACCGGCGGACTTGTTTTTAAATGCCAACAGGAATATATGTGTTCCAATCTCCCAGGATTCCCATCACATATGAGCAGTGTTACGCAGGCACGCGCGGTCTAGCCCCATTGGCAAACAGTCCCCATATCTCTGTTTTCTATAAGGTAGCACCGTCGGAATGCCAGACGACAACCGCCATCAACTTCTGCAATAGCCTCCTTAGTAGTAGAGTGATCACCAAGGGTATACAGCTACCAGATAACCAAACGACCACTTCGAATGAGTTTTCTGCGCTAGTGAAAACTAGTTTGCGTTTTGGTTATGTCCTGACGCTGTATTCTGTAGTGTACAACTCTATACATGGCATGTTTTATCAGCGCTTGAATATGGTGACTGTTTGTAACCCGGTTTGGCCCATCTCTTTTAGCCCCTCATTTTGAAAACATCGTGGCATCGTGTCACTACCGACTGCATTGTTAGCGTGGTGCAGAGCTCTTATCCTAGATGTTTGGTTTAATCCATCATAGTTCACTTATGTGTTCCATTCTCATTTTCTTTTAGCTACAATGTGAGTTCGTTTTGGCCTTCTAATCTCCTCATCGACTGTTGGACGCTGCTTGCCCAACGGATTGATTTCACAACTCTTACCTCATCAGCTGCTGTCACTGATGATCACTGTTTGTTGCGATATTCGCTCGGCACTTTTCAATCCACTAAAGTTAGCTAACGCGTAATACACGCTACTACATTCTTCGCGATGCACCAGCATCAGCTGTTGTGTTCGGGTTGCTTATGTGTGACGCCGTTAGTGTCATTTTTCTTAACCTCCTCTTGCCACTTGGTTGTAACGCGTACTTTTTTCCCATATACGTAGGGTAATCGTTCCACCGCCGTTCAAGTATCTTCCGTATGCCGTTTGTTTGGATAACCGAAAATCAAGCTATGCAGTGAAGCATGTAGCCCTATCAATTGACTTAGATTTAAACTGGGACAATCCTTCCGAACAGGAACGTGCTGTTTTGGAAACAATTCAAAAGCGATCTCTTGCTAACGCCCGCCTAGAGGCTTTGGATGCCAAATATTTAGAGAGTTGGAAAGCGCTCATCGTAAGTCTATCCTTTTATTTTGGCATGTTTTTGCGCATGCTTCCATCATCATTCCCGCGGCCATCATCACCATCGCTTTATTCAATAACCTGGTTATGGTCGTAGCGTGCAACGCGCTTTCTGTTCACTCCTCGATTCAGAGCTCTGCTTGCATTGACACATACTTTGCAGTTTCGTAGTTCAAAGCACTACCGCTACACACATCACTGGTTCTTACAGCTACCGAACAACCACACTTGGTTGTCGATCAGTTGTCCCATCCAGTCAGTTGTATTCCCCACACGGTCACTTCACCGAAACGTTTTATACACACTTTTCCAAGTCTCGCGCGTCCTTCTAACTCTCATTTATTGATGGAAACGGCAAGGTGGCTTGCGCTGCACCACCCACAGCTACAACCACACACCCCATGCCCAGTGTAAACCCGAAGGAATAAGACCGAGGCATGTGGATGGGAGCCACGTTTCATCAACGGAGCCGGCCCACACTTCTTCACAGGCAAAAACAAGCACGCTGCATTTGGGAATCAAGCGCACACAAGGCGGTGGTTGGACCGTAGTCCGCTCCACAGTGAGTACATGGAACCACTCTTCGAGCCTAGCATGACCACAAGGACCATGCATCCCGTCCCCTCCAGCAACGACCCCCTATCTCCTAGAGCCAGTATCGACGACATGGTTGGTAATAGACAGGTAGACACCTTGTCAACATGCACATCAAGCGCAACCACACCGGGGATCTAAAGCAACAGCCAATCACGTGAAGCGACAATATCTAATGAAAGAGATCGAAAACACCATACGGATATGCCCCTACATTAACGTATCAAAATAAATGGGTTATCAACATAACCGCCATAAACTCAGGATGGCTGAACGAGAGGTCCAAAGCGCACATGCAGAAAACGAGAAAAAAATAAAAGAAATTAACTTTTTTCGTCTGTCACATGTGCAAGTTAATAGATTATTCTGTTAGACATTAAAACGAGGTAGCAAAATAAGCCTTAAAACACTATAACAGACCAATCATCGGAAATGAAATAAAATTCAGCACCCAAGCACGCGGTTAGTAACTCGAATGGAAGCGCATGTAGCATACCTACCAACACTGCGTTGGCTCTGCTTACCTTCTCAGCAGGACCCATCGTCATTTCTATGCTGCTTCCGAGTGGCCTCGCTTGTGCCTCGTTAGTCCTGCCTGACTCAGGCATTGGCGACCGCATGTGCTACAGCACTACGCGCTCGACGTCAATGGATATAGATATATAAATATGGGTATATATATCTATAATTGCTGTCTGCGCAGCATGGCTCTCGTCGGGTGGCGCTAGCGTGTCCGCAACGTTGATGTGCGTAAGTGTGTACTAAACAGTGATAACCCAGCTAGTTTCTTAGTACAACAGGTAGCACTGAATAAGTTGCGTTGGCTTAGGCACGTACTATGTATACCTGGTTGCCACTTGCCGAGAAGGTCCTTCTTTGTCTCCTAGATATAGGTTGGCGCAAGGCTCGAGGTGGACAAACGTTGAATTGGCAACGGGGAAATAAAATCCGTGACGACCAAACGGTGCGCTATTTTTCAGGCTGGAGTCCACGTGACTCGCCTAGTGCTTGGACTGAGACTTTACAGGGCATGGCTCGCAGTAGACACATGTGGCGTGTATGTGTGTCTCCTAGTCAGACTGCCTGTTTAAGGTGTATTTGGTGCTGAATTATCTGCGGTATGATGGCGGGTTAGTGAAAGCCCCAAGGAAGCTGTCTCACTGATGCCACCTTAGCTTTGCATGATATCTAGCTGTTCGTGGCGTTATGTAATTAGCGAGGTATAGACACCTTGACACTGAATGTTTGCTTCGGACCTTAAGGTTTTACTGTAAGTTTCCCTTCTCTCTCACTTACTATTCTTCGTCCCGTAGGTCCTTATGGTTGTATGGCAGCGCAGCATCAGTTCAAGTGGCTGATGTATTGCTGCTTTTAATGATGCGATGATGTCTCCACATGGGTTGAAGTGTATACCCTTACGCAAGCGTCGCCCGAATACAACAGTGTTAAAATGCTTTTATCTTTCACCCATCCGGTATTCCGGAGACCCTATGCACGTATAGCGGGTCCCCTTTTGTTAGCGCAATATTTATCCGATTCGTCACTAGTAACGGAATTCAGTTTATGAAATCGGTGTCCTATCATCCTGCGTCAAACGAATTGGCAGAGCGGGTAGTGCAGACAATAAAGCGAAGACTGTTGAAACAGCTTGTGACCCTACGAACAAAGCTGAATCGGTCCCTATTAGCATATTGTTCCACACCCACTGGAAGTACAGGTAAGTCTCTTGCAGAGCTGATGTTTGGTAGGAACCTCAGGACAAGGTTGCATTTACTGCCTCTTAATTCATGGGTAGAGATAGAAGGGCGGCAGAAGGTATCACTATCTTCAGATGAGCAAAAGAAGGATGTGATTTTTCGCGACAATGACTTGGTTTACACATGCCGAGACGGTTCCGCCCATCCGTAAACGCCTCTGAATACTGAATACTGTATTATAGAGCAAGTAGAAATGGATTCTGTACAACTCTTTCGAGATATGGCGAAAAACGTTATAAAAGTTGTCAACCTTGAATATCATTGTCGTTCTCATGTAATATTTAAAATATTCGACTTACGATATTTCAGGATTCACAAATGTGATGTCATCGTAAGTGTGCAGTCGTTCTCTGAATCGAATAGAGGCAAAATGCAAATCTAACAACGTTTTGAACTGTTGCACCGATGTTGCCTCAATGACATGTTCGGGCAAACTATTCCAAATGTTTACCACTCTCCGTTCGAAGCACAGTGGGTGGGGAACACGTTTCATATCCGGCACAACAAGTTTGTATCTGTGTCCGCGTGTGCTGCATGGCCCTCAAAGACAGAATCTCGCCCGTTCCGAATCATTCGTGTTATATCAATTCCCCTGCATCTGTGGTGCAAGGTACTTCGGGTACACGACTAGGCGTCTGTCTAAGAACAAAACGGAACACTGTTCTGCCTTTGCGACATGGCGCGGTTAAGGATGTCCGCAGTTCTGTCTTCGAGCATCTAATTAGTACTGGGTATCAGATTCGGACTGAAGACGGATTTAAAGTCGTCTACATTGTGTCGAAGCGCATACCCAAAAGACTCAAAAAGTGCCTGCTGGCCACTGCCGAATCAATAGCGATCAGACTGTTACAACCTGGGTTATGCAAGCAAAAGACGTTAATACAAACTCTCAGTTTGCCTTGGCCGTAGCTAGGATTCTGTCCCTATCTGATAGAAACCCCGGCCCAACTGCGAGCTTTGTTCTTCATCAGCCTCTACGCTCTTGCTTTCTCTACACTAGATTGCCACAGGAAACACGCTGGCAACCTGTCACTGTAATTCGTTCTTCGGGAAGCCAAGACGACGTCCAACTTTCAGACAGCCGATTTATTCGGCGGTATTCAGACCACGTTGCTCCACGGAGTTTAGATGCACCGAAAGAGGCGCAGACCGAGTTGTGCGGACTAAGAACCGGACACTGAGAGTGAACCGTATTAGCAGGCTAGCGAAACGCTGCGAGGCGATCGGCCCGCATTCCCAACTCAGTTGATAGTGCAATAGCGTAGAGTAGCGTAGATGAGGCTCCGACGCTACTCTACGCTATTGCAAGCCACTCAAGTACGTACTGATATTGTCACCTCGATTGGTGAGGAAACGTTTGCAACAAAATTGCCAAGCTCAGCGAACAGTTCAACAGCCAGTTGACCGTTTCCAGCCGGTACTGTGACAACATCCATGGAGGTGAGGAGTGTCATATGCGCACCGAAGATCATGCTCTAATCTACTCAGGTGGATGCATACAACGCATTCATGCACACACACACACACACACACACACACACACACACACACACACACACACACACACACACACACACACACACACACACACACCAATGTCATTGTATCGCCAGTGAATGCAAGTCGAAATGTCCTGTCAGATGTTGATTACACAGTGCTTTGTCTAGACTTGTTTTCCGTCCTTAACGTTCCGAGCCCTATAGAGCATACGTTCTTTATCGTTTCCGTGACTAATGCGTTTCAGTTACCCCGTTCCTCTGACGACATTCAACTTTTGTACCGCAAAGTAGAAAGGCCATACTTCTACTCACATTGGGAAGCTTCCTTGTTGATTTATACTGCGTGTCCGAAACTAGGATCAATGGTCCTCACGCGGTTGTCTAACAGCTAACTACTGCTCGTCCTCCCCCTATTGGCTATACTATCCTGAAACGCTGATGCAGATACCACAGGTCAAACCAGATTGGGCATTAGAGACTTTCTGATGCGGTCCCAGTGATCGAAATGGCATAGGTTTACTTCAAAGCAAACTGTAGCCTCAATCAAGCTTGCATGTCGCAATCCATACGCATGGCGAGTACTCCAGAACTTACTAATGCACTTTCAACCACTGTGTCATGCGTTACTGTGGTGCTCTGGCTTAGTGATTAACATGAAAACTGTCGACCATGGTGTCGGGTTCTCCTCTCATCTCAAACTGTCTCTACCTGACGAGTCCAAATCAGGACAAAACCGGTCGGTTGTGGAGTACAGTGTTGGAAGAAAGGAGCTCCGAAATTCTCAAACTTGTATTTTTATTTAATATCCCATGGAAGCCTCTGATGTTATTTCATTATAAGAGACTTGATGTCGCAGTTCGCTCCGTAGCACATCATAGATGTTGGTTTAGCGTCTTCTGCAATTGGCCTTTCATTGTTCACTAATCGGTTCATTGCCTACTCCTTAGTGGTCTTCCTGCTCTCTTCCTATGCGCACATGATCTGGTCCCTGTGAACCATAGGTGAGATGATTTGAATTGTAATGGGGCACTCCATCTGTGTCCATCAGTTAATGAAACATTGTTGTTTTTAGACTATCCATTTCTGAGTATTAAAGAGTTCAGGAACGATATTATGCCATTATAAGATTACAGTTCCATTGCGAAACTTTGTCATTTATAGAGTTTAAGTGGTTTAGAAATTCACTTCCCCATCCTATTTTAAAACCCTTAAGTAATCATGAGTTTTCAACCAGTCCCTATCGTATATCAAGATACCAAAGTACGAACCAAACCTACGCAGTGGACTAAATTCTTTCGCGTTCCACCCTTTGTCACGTGTTCAGGTTCAGTTAGACAATTTATTTGGACGCCTTCGCCGAATTGAACATTTGCAACAGAAGACTGACAACTTCGCATCAATCGACAAGGCTTTAATGGAGGCGAACATTGCACGTGTGACGAACGGTTCCGTCATCCAGATTCTCATTATGCTTGGTGTTGCTGCTCTTCAAGTTACATTAATTCGAGCTTTATTTGATTTTAACAGTCGTTTCTATCGTTTGTGGTTCGGGAAACGGTCGAAAGTTAGCACCCGGTGTTAACCGCGCATTGGTTGGCGCGTTTCTCGCTCAAAACATTCTTCTCCTCTCTCCAATTTGACTTCAAATTTTCTCCTTCCGCTGCCCCCTTCATTACAAAAGTATGCGCGTCGGATTTGCCTTGTGCTTCTTTCTTGTATCTTCAACTATCGTGTACGTGACTTGTCAATTATATTTGCTTTCTGGACACAATGCTTTTACGCTCCCAATGTCTGTCTGCGTTTCTTGCTGATCCTTATAATTATAAATAGCTTGTTTGACCCAGTGGGTATTTCCTGTCCCTAACTCAATGGATTTGCTGTGACCGAGCGCCACATTGAATTGGATCCGGTCTCTGCCTCGCGTCAGTTTAATAATCGCCATTTACCATACTTAAGGTATCTAAAAAGCATAACTAGTATACAAGCCCGTGGCGAAATGTTACAATTGTTGAATGAAAACAATCGGAGCATTGGCTTTAACACAAGAAAATCATCGATTTCCGTGCGCGTCCTTTTGGATGAGATGTCTAACAACTGATACGGTCGCACCAACACCCTTGTCCTCATCCATACGATGAGGACTTCCATACGATTTATGAGTACTTAAGTAAGCGAATATCTAATGTCGACGCACCTGCAATTGTCGTCAAGCCGGTCACAGACAGATTTCTACGTTTCGATCAGCCTTACAATAGAAATAACTCTGCTTCAAACCCTTGTTAAACGGTCCAGTTAGAAGACAGCAAGTGTCCCACCGGTGCGGCCTGCGAGCCATGCCCTATAAAGTCCCTAGTCAAGCTTACAGTGTACCACGTTGGACTCCAGTTTAGATGCCGAGACGGATCAACAGCACCCAATCTGGTCATCACTCACTTGGTTTCCCGATGCTAAGTCGGATTTCCCCCCTCAATCTTGAGCCAGTCTACATCCGGCAAACAGCACAATGTCCTTCGTGCGCGCCAACACAACTCGGTCTTTCCATTCGTTCCCTATTCTCTTCCATTTTATTCGTTAGCAACAGCGTTCGCATACCCACTACACCGAGGCAGCTGTTCTCTACTCATAGGAACACTGTAATCTGTTTTGTGTAAACTTTTTAGTTCGCGTGGCAATGCAGTGGGCACTAGAGCCTCTTGTTGAACGCCAGATGGCAAACAGTACTCGCTTATCGGTCCCACTAGATGGTAACAGCGAAATCCTCTTTGGAACTCCTCGCGTCAACGCTTCCAATGCATACATCCGAAACATCCAAATGAACCGTTATGCAACGTTCTTCCGGTCCTACAGTTGGACTTTTCTGTTTCCATGGATAAACTGGGTTTCGAAGAGCAACACGGGTCTTGTCAATGTACACAGTGACCTCTTCGATAACTTGAACGTTGGACATGATACAGTCAGCTATAGAATTGAAGACTGGTAGGTCAGGTTGTTCAGATGGCTGTTGAACTGTTCTCTGAGCTTGGCAATTTTGTTGCAAACGTTTCGTCACCAATCGAGGTGACATCATCAGTGCGTAGTTGAGTAGCGTGTAATAGCGTAGAGTCAGCTAGGCTGCTGGGAAGATCAGCAAATCTGAATAATTGCTGATGGCATGAGTAGATGATATGACAACCTACCTCTACTGAGCACATGCTTTGGGGATGTTATTCGCATGCTGAATCACACCTGACCGTATTTTTCTATTATATTTATTCTAGTCCAAGCTATATCTGTGTGGTTTCAGTCAATCGTCCAACATAGCTTGAATACCAGCTGATGCTGCTGTCGGATTCCTGCGTACTTTTAAGCGACAAAATCAAAGCGGATCGAAACAACAGCAACTACAACACACTTCTGAGGCGGGCACTTAGGTGAATGCATGGCCACATCACAGTATGGAGACGTTTGAATTAATCAAAACGTATTTTGCACTCCATTCAAAAATACGCGGCGCTACAAATGGATGCAGTAAAGTTGATCAGTGGCTGTAATTTACTCGAAAAGGAATACCCTGTTTCCACCTTAGTTTGACTCTGTAGCAGTACATCTATACGCCCTGTCGGATGAAAGGGCATCAGCAGTACATCGCCACATCGACCGAGGCTTAGCTACCATCCGATTGCGCGTGAGCCGGGTATACTGCTAGGTCACCCGCACCTATGCGGATTCGACCCAGCAAGACAAGTGTGTAATGGTTTCGACCACCGACCCACTTCTGTCAGTTAGGATCTTCATCACCACATCCCGATCATGAAGCTGATGATATTGATGCCTCACTGTCGTGCGACCCTAATTGCCATACGGATAAATGACAGGAAAGTAGGGATCGACCGCAGATAGTCGCCATTTGTTATAACACGTCCGGCTTGTTTCGGAACGGACGAAATGCTCTCCTGTATTCCTGGTGTCCTGAGGAAAACTCAGTTGGTTCACTGTACCTTGAGGCGATAGATGCAACAGTGTCCTGAGGAGGACTCGGTTGATACCAGTGGAGTTTGACTCGCAATTTGGTCACAGTGTTTCTGAAGTGAGCTCAGGCGAATGCGCAATTTTCGCGGAGCTATGCGACCTCGAAACATCTATTGTGTAATGCTAAGACGACACGGGCGAGAGCTTCCAGTATTATGCATGCAGGCGGCGTACTGTGATCCCTCTTCACTTCGAGTCTCAACCAGTGGCTGAAGGGAAAGGGGCGTCTCCCTTGTAACCCAAAGATCAGCGGCTCGTATTTCCATACGTGCGGGCAACATGGCAGTCTCCCTAGTCCGCGCGCGACTGGTAGTGGTCTCCGAAACTATCCTTTGGACACCACTGCATGTTGAGTACATCATAATTGTCTTCTTTGTCTCTTTAACAGAGTACTTATAATTGCGTCTCATGTCAGCCAGATGGCTAATTGAGAATCTTGTACTCCGCGGATTGTATACTCGCGTTGAACTATACCCTAGATCCAATCCAGGACTTACCGAATGGGTCGTTGCACTGCACCCGGAGTACTTGGCACCCACAAAATCCATGATTCCATCATAAATCCAGTCCGACGCACCACCGATTACCACATGGGTTGTTCGATGTGTGAGTCGACTAACCTTACGGCTAAATCACCCAGCAGTTGGGTTCTCCTAGATTTTAATCATCTGTGGAGGTGGCAAGACATTCTTTTGTCAATGGGTGGGTTTATTACTTCTGAGCGTTTGATGTTACCCAATAGATCACACTTATAGTCACTATACACTAAGGATATTAAGCAGCTGATCATCTTTCATCACAGATACCCGCGCCACGCTGCTCATGCCTGTTGGAACCATCGCGAAGTAATGCGGAGACCCATCAGTTGGAGCATGACAACAAACCGGTGTTGTGCCGACTTGTCTTTTGCACTTGACGTACCTGCGTTGGCCACATCACTTTTCCTACTCACCTGGCATTTATTTTTGTTTTGATTAGGTGAGTGTAACCACATATAACGAAGGGCCCAGAGAGCATGCAGAAACCGACTGAAGGATCCGGATCAGTCGGTGCATATCATTTGCTTGATCATCTCGACATCAGTCACATCAACCGAATAGTTCACTCATCTGCACTATGACTTTCGATCTCTTCTCCTCTGTCGTTAGCCATTACACATGAATATGATAGAGTTACCCCCGGCTACTTCTCCGTTGGCGTTTTGTTTGCTAGTCTGTTTGCGTTTCCATCCTATTTTATCCAGCTTTCTACACAGCGATATCTTGGTCACGATTCCACGCGTCATCTTCTCGAAAGGTGGGATGGGCTGGATCAGTATAGTTAGAGACCTTATCCATCTTGGTTTAGTCGTGAACTCATCAGCACCCCCTCACTGGGTTTCTGATGCTTAGCTGTTAATCTGGAAAACCGACTTGTTTCTCGCTCACTCTTTCCCCTGACCATTTACTAGCTCAAGCATTTGGCCTGCAGTTTTTGCACCCGTGGTACCCCAATAGAATATAAGTCCGCATACGGTCACTTGCGGTTGCATGGGGTGCAATCATCAATGCAGAGCACTGGGGTACTTCCGATACACTTTTTTACCGCCTTTTATACTTGCCATCATTTGCGATATAATTGTTGGCAGCTGGATTCACTACACCTCGGTTGTGGTTAATCAGTTGGACTTGGCTGCTCAGACCCTCAATCCACCTATGTTAGTTGTAATCTGTAGGCTCATTCCATAAATAATGGCTAATTAAAACGGTGTTGAGTTGTGCTAGCCGTATTCACCGCGTTTCGGTGCTGTATCTATAGTTGGTCTACTGACTTGGAAGACGGCGTTCGCAAGACAACGATAGTCTCAGAACTCACTTAAATATCGAACTTCCCACTTATCGCATTATGCCCGCACCTTTTTCTCATATTCTTTGGAGCGCGCATTGAATCGCAAGTGAATCTTGTTTTCCGCCAGCTTTTACGACTCTGTGTTGAGTGGCTTTCTGGAATAGGGGCAAGTGTGTTGTTTTGTACTTTTTGAATCCCAAGCGCCTTGGGCCGTTTTTCAATAGACATGTTTTGGCTTACGTTTGCATATCTGTGACTACGTTATATCGCGAGCATCTCGGAACAGCCAATTGTGGCCAGATCCTGCAGTGATCACCTGCTGAAAACCTTCCTCCTTGGTTCACCCCTAATCCTCGATAGTCCCGCTCCAACCGGACACAAACTTCTTAATAGCGGGACCGGGGTTTGTGAGGGCGTTTGAGCATATGCCGCATCGCAGGATGGTTGTAGAACTACATCTATGACGTTCTGTGGTCTGCATTCTTGTGTTAGGCCGATTCGACATCATCCCGCTGACGAATGGGTGCAAATGACAATAATTGTCAATCGTTTTTCGGACGCTCGTTGCACGCTAAATAGACCAATGATTAGTACTGTTAGGTGACTGATTATCAACTTAGCGCACGCGGGCAACATATCTCTCTCTGAGTCTGACTCAACTGTCGTAAAAAATGCCCACGATTGAGCAGACTTGTAACGCCATACCATATACAGTCTGCTTTGCCCCCCAAATTACAGTACTGTTGCAAGATGGTACTAGCACATCACCAGTTTTTGCAAGTTACGGGTTTGTTTTTCACTTTGAAAAACTATGTCGCCCCGTAGCGTAGAGGTAACGAGCTTGTCCGTAATCTTGCGGCGTGGGTTCGAATCCTCGTAGAGGCAGCCGTCCTCGTGGTATACTCAGCCCTCGTGCGACTGGTGGTGATCG